CTCCTAATTAGAGATTCAACAGCCATTTAAATGCACAAACTGTACAGAAATAATCTTGCAAAGAACAAAAAACAAGTTAAGGATCAAAGACAACAATAATACATCAGCATCTGTTATCAAAATCAGGTTTCAGAGCTTGTGAGATACTAAGTAACTGATTGGAATTGGAATATTTTTTTCCAGAAACTGGATATGCAAAACTCCCTCAGAACATTGCCTTAAAATGCTTAATTAAATAGAATATTTTGTCAGTTTAAACTAAATCATGTATTAATTTGGGATATAAAGAAATTAATGGAAGGATGTTTTTTCAATTAATGGTATGCTGTGTTAAGCTTTGATGTGTTTTTTCTGAGGTTCTCTACTTTCTTAATTTGGCTACTGTGGTAAAGTCACCCCCTGAATCTTGATTTAATTTGTAAATACATACAACTACAAGCCTCATCCATATAGCATTCTAAGTCATAAAGGGATTTGTTGGCTTGGCAAAGTAAAAAAAAATGACTATTTTGAGCTAATCAGTTATGCAAACTATGACATATATTGCATGAACATGACATTAAACATATTCATTGATGCAAGTTCCAGAATGGGATCATATTTCATAATAAGGCACAATAGGATTTGTGGTAGGTTGTGTTTCTTCAGACAGGTTTGATGAAGCTGTTAGCACAACCTGTCTAATAAGGTCCTCTATGCATCCAGCATGTTCTACAAACTAAGCATTTTGGTCATTGCCAAGTCAGAATATCAACAAAGTATATTAGAATCATAATGAAAAGAAGGAGATGGATGGATTACTTCAGTTATCATCAATGACTCTGTATAAGATGAATGAGAAAGCTGTGTTTGATTTTGGGGTTCAAATCCTCTGTTAATGTTGCCCAAATGTATTTGGGGACCGAGCTGCCATTAGTAAGATTTTCTCTTTGAGGGAGATGGACAGTTCAGAAATATAAAAACATAATTAAATAAAATTATGGTTGAGGTGGGCCCGAAATTGTAAATATCAAAAGTTGTTTGTATCATTGAAAGCTCTGTTGTTGTGTTTTTCTTTTAAGACAAAAAATGTTAATGTATGTTATTTTTTCTAAACTAAAACCTCAGTATTCTCATCAAATTGCCGTTTTGGCATTTTGCGATAAATAAGTGAGTTTGGGGTTGCAGTTTGGACAATTGGTCTCTAAAAGGTTTGCCATCACTAAGCAAACTAAAAGACCCTGAAGAAAAAACAAGAGTCACCTACAACATACAATGTAAGGACTGCAACAACTACTATGTAGAACAAACAGGCAGAACTCATCCATTAACACCAACTAGCAGTCAGAAGACATGATGAATTTTTTTTAATTTCACAGCACATAGACAGATTTAACCATAGTTTCATAGACCCAGCCAAGTCCCAAAACACCAGGGAATCTTAGAAGCCTGGCACTCTTGACTCACCCATCCCCTCCCAGCCACTCTTTGCCTTCCCACCCAGGCTCCTTAGGCCCCCAACAGGAAGCAGTTGTTGGAGCTAAGCAGCCACCGTGAGAAAGAGTTGGAAAAATGGCTGGCTTAGTTCAAATTGGATCTGACCGAGAAGGAGGCTCAGCAGAAGCACCTCACTGAGGAGTATGAGCAGAGGCTTTCAAAGCAGATGGAAGACCTGCGGGAGTGCGAGGCCAGGTACTGATGCCTGGAGGCTCAGCAGCAGAGGAGGGTTCCTACCGAACCAGTAAATGGTTTTCTGGCCAGGGTCGCTGGAACCAGCAGCAACCCAGGCCTGCCACAGCTCCAAACCGGGGCGGCAAGTTTCCCCTCCCCCCCCTTTTTAAGGTTTTGTGCATGCACAGATCTATTTTGGGATAACTGTGCATGTGCATGCACCAAAATGGCAGCAATGCCAGTAGCAACCCACCCCTGCTGAGCAGGCTGAGATGGTCAGCCAGTTCCAGGCCATGATGCAGTCCTACTGGAATAAGCCCCTCCGGCTCTTTGCCACCAGCAACACTTCCCTCCAGCCTTCGCCCAAAGTTCCACACCAGGAGGCAGAAGCAGACCCCAAGTCAGAATTTCTTTCCCCCACTCTGACCTGTTGAGAAAGACCCCAAAGGGGGAGGCTCACTGCAGCAACACAAATGTTCATTACATGTATGCAACCCAGGGGCCATAGTTGATTTAGTGCAATATAAAAGATGCAAATAATTTTTCTGCGGACCACCAAAAATTTCTTGTGGACCACCAGTTGTGACCGCTGAAGTAAACCATACCCCAATCAAGAAACTGCCAAAGAAGCCAACAGCAAACAGCCCAACCAAAAAATCTCTAAAATCACCCACCACCACCACTGACAGGGGAGGACTATCAGAATATAAACTGATAGCAAACTGCATTCCTCACTATCATGGATGTTACATAGTTTGGGTCTGTAAGAAAGCAAGCAAGCTCAGAGAGCATCAAGAACTCCTCATACCTAATATTCCTTTCTCCTATTTTCCTCACCAAAACAATCCTGTGAGGTGGGTTGAGCTGAGAAAAAGTGACTGGCTCAAAGTCACCCAGCCAGCCTTCAAGATCTTCAGGTCTCTAGCCTGGTGCCTTAACTACTAGACCAAATGGATTTCCTGATGAGCCACTTATTAACAAAATTTAACCCCACTTAGAATGGGCAAGGCTTAATTAACTGCTAAATTAGCCTAATCAGAAGGTTGACGTTGACCAGAGGAATAGAAGCAGCATGTGTCATGTGGCAAACCCCCTCCCCCCCAAAAAAAATTCCATGGACCTCACATTTTTATCCGGATTATAGAAAATTAAGGGAACCGAGACATTGAAACACTTTGATCAAAGGAAATGATATATTAGTGGTATAAAAACAGTCTATTGGAATTCTTACATGATTAAAAGAACATATCGAATGTGTAATCAGAATTCCAAAATTATATAATACAGTCATTTAATTGAATAAAACAGAACTGAGAATTGCATATTGTATGTGGATCTGATTTGAATAAATGGTAACAGAGGTCGGTTTCTGCCTCGCCCCTGATGGGGTGAACCAGTAGTGGTGGCAGCAGGAGGCTCCACCCACCCGCCTGGACGCGCACACACACAAGTGAACCGGCAGTAAAATAAGTGGAAATCCACCATTGAATTGTAAGTGAGTTACAGAAACACAATTTGCTATGCCTTTTATTTTTTAATACAGGGTTTTATTATTGTTCTGTTCTTTATATCTGATGCTCTGTTATGGTCCAATGCCTAATCAATAACATATTTCTATTGTGACCAAAGACCTGCTTTGGACTGGACTGATTTTGAATATTTGATAATGTGACGGCCATGGTATTTCCTGCAATATTAACATGGTTCTGGGTGAAACCCAAAATTCTTCTACCACAGAATTTTGCTATAGTACCTTACAAATACATCATTGCAATTATGTCCTTGTTAGAATTTCACTTGTTACAAAATGTCCCTTGCGTTTCAAAGTTTTTTTGGGGGGGTGGGGTTTCAAAGTCTTTAAACCACCTTATTATTTAGACTGCTTATATACAGGTAGTCCTCAGCTTACGAACACAACTGAGCCCAAAATGTATGTTGTTAAAGTGAATTTGTCCCACTTTACAACTTTCTTTGTCAGATTTGTTAAGTGAATCAATGCAGTTGTTAAATTAGTAACATGGCTGTTAAATGAATCTGGATTCTCCATTGCCTTTGCTTATCAGAAGGTCGCAAAGTGACTCCTGAACACTGCAACCATCATAAATATGAGTCAGTTGTCAAGCATCTGAATGTAAATCACATGACTATTGAGATGCTGCAATGGTCATAAGTGTCGAAAACGGTCATAAGCAGTGGTAGGATTCAAATTTTTTTACTACCTGTTCTGTGGGTGTAGCTTGGTAGAAGTGGCACGGCTTGGTGGGTGTGGCTTGGTGGTATGGTAGGGGAAGGCTACTGTAAAATCTCCATTCCTTCCCCATTCCAGGTGAAGGTTACTGCAAAATTCCCATTTCCTCCCGATCAGTGGGACTCGGGAGGCAGATAATAGATGGGGGCGGGGCCAGTCAGAGGTGGTTCTCTGAACTACTCAAAGTTTCCGCTACTGTTCTCCAGAACTGGTCAGAACCTGCTGAATACCACCTCTATCATAAGTCACTGTTTTCAGTGCTATTGTAACTCCGAACGTTCACTAAATGAATTGTTGTAAATTGAGAACTATCTGTACTTACAGATAAAAATCTCTGCAATTTATACTTTAAAAAAAATAATCCAATGTATGTCCCAGAGGTGTTTTTTTCAAGAGGCAATTAGACTTTGTGGTTTTTCTTGGAAGACATCTAAGAAACTTCTTTAGCTCTGACGATAGTGAGGAATGGAAATGCTTCTGAAAAAGCTTCTTGGATGAGAAGCAAAACGTCTTCCAAGAAAAACAAGAAGGTTCAGCTGCCTCTTGAAAAAAAGCACCTTTGGGACAACCATGACCTGGATGACTGAGAATCTCCATAGACACATAACCCAATATATGTTGAGTATTGTTAAGGTACTTTATAGTACTCTGTGCTCCTTCAGTAACTTTCCAGATTTATTTGAAGTGTCCCCACAACTATAGATGAGATTTACGATCATTGTAATAATCTAATTTATCTAGTTGCTTCCCATTTCCTGGCAATCTCTGTTGTCATAGTGCCAAAACTGATCAACAGGTAGATATTCTAAAGCGCCCATCTCTCGTTCACATCCTTATTCTCATTTGCTCCCGGACCTATCCATCCGCCCGTTCTTCTCACCCATTGGCTGTTTTTCAGATTGTCGCTTTCATTCTTCCTCCACCTCAATTATCTTGCCCCCCCCACCCTCTCCCCGTTAGCCCCGCCCCCTTCTGCCATCGGGCTAGACCCGTCCGCCAGTGGCGTTCCCGTCCTGATGATTGGCAGGCGCTCCGGTCGTCTCCGGGCGGTGGTGCGATCAGTCCACGCGGTGACGCGAGAAGCCGGCGACGTCACCATTGGCCGCGAGCGTTGCGGGGCGTGTTGCCTGGCGATGTGGCGCGCGACGCGCAGGTTGGCGGCGGCCGCGGCCGCGGCGGCGACGCCGTTGTCGTCGTCCGTTGCGGGCGGGGGAAAGGCAGCGCCGTTCCATTTATCATCGCGAGCGGGCAGCTGTTTCTGTCAGTGGAGCCGCCGCGCACCTAGGTGGATCTCGCCTGCCTCTCTCGCGGGCCCGAAGGTGAACGGAGCGCGGTAAGGACTGACACTGGAGATCGGAGGGGTTTAACGCCTGGGGTCTGCCGGGATAAAAAGCCCAAAATCTTTTGTGAAGGCAAACAGGCCGCCCGCTTAAAACCTCGAGCCTGAGGTAGACTGCTTTTAACGAGGGAAGGTTAACAATATCCATCTCTTATATAATTCTTTGTATTTTTCCATCAATTCCTTTAGTCTTACATATCATTGCTGAACAACTTTTTTTCCTATCTTCAACTAATTACTTTTAATTTACCTTCATTTCTGACAGAAGGCAGTCCACTCTCTTCTTGAAAGTTTCCAGTGATGAAACTCCCACAACTTCCGAAGGATCAATTGATTGTTCTCACTGACAGAAAATTTCTCCTTATTTCTAGGTTGAATCTCTCCTTGTTCTTCTCCTTGTCTGGCCTTCAGGTGCTTTGGAAAATAGCTTGATCCCTTCTGTAGCAGCCCCTCAAATATTGGAAGGCTGCTATCATGTCTCCCCTGGTCCTTCTCTTCATTAGACTAGCCATGCCCAGTTCCTGCAACCGTTCTTCATATGGAAGTACCGCTCTGGAAGTACCACTGCTCTTGCAGCCGCTGAAAAGATCCCTCTCTAGATCCGCTTTTCGGGGTGCTATTTCCCCTTGGTGTATCAAAAAACATGGGTCTTTGACTCTGCTGGCTGGGGAAGATGGGAGTCTGGCAGACTGGTCTGATTAGATGAGCCTGAATAAAAGGCAATGACACTAAATTATTCCTTTCTCCTCTTCTCCCTCCCTCCCAATAAGTGGGGAAATAAATAAGTGGGGAAAAGTTGAGAGCTTTTCTTGTAGGTTCTCAATATCTTCGGAAGTTGTCAGCGTTTCATCATTTGAGACTTTCAAGAAGAGATTAGACTACCATTTGTCAAAAATGGTGCAGGGTCGTCTGCTTTGGGGGGGGGGTTGGACATAAGACCCATGAGTTCCCTTCCAACTCTGCTAATCTGTTTGTTAAATCCAGTTCATGGTTACTCTGAAGGTGCTTTTTCCAAAAGACAAAATTGGACTTTCTTGGTATCTCCCCCCCCCCCCCTTGGTAATGTTTCACGTCTTATTCCTAAGAGGTCTTTAAGGGGTGCGTACTGTCCCTGTTCTAATATTCCCTTGTATTCGTATTCATTTCATGTATTGATAATCATGTTTATACTCATATCTAATTCATGCTTGATGAAATAAATAAACAATTAAAAAAAGAAGCTTCTTCAGTTCAAAACTGAATTTACGATTCTTGGATGAAAAGGAAAAACTTTCATTTAAGTAGTCATTCATTGCACTTTTGGCTTACTTTTCTGCAAGGAGCTCTGGTGGCTACGTGAAATTTATTTTTGCTCTTGTTGTTTTTAAAATAAATTTACTTTCTTTCCAGGTGCTGAAAAGCTTATCAAGGAAGCAATTGTCAAAGCAGATGTTGTGGGGCTTTAAAAGAAATTGTCCTGAAGAGAAAATATATAGAATTGATCCTGAAAACGTCAAGGATAGGGACACAGTGATTTAACATCCGCTGGAGCAGACTATACATTTTTGAAAAGTTTCAAATGCTAAAATAGAGGAATATTTGTAGAATGCAAAAAGCTTGATTTGTTTAGCATTCCTTAATGAGATACATTATGATGTTGAGGCATTCCATAATGAGATACACTAGATGTTGAGGCATTCTGAAACAAGTTTATCCTGGCTTTTAATATTGCATGTTTTATGCACATCTAAATTCAGTCGGTTCTCATGTGGAACATGAACAAACAATTGGTACTCTTTAACTCAAAATGTTTGCATTGGAATCACCTAACCGCAAATTTTGAGTGATAGGTTTTGCTTTGGTCTGAACTGCTGTTTCTCTTGTGTTTTTTGTTTTTTTTAGGGAGATCAACAGCACAATCATGCCTGAGATAAATACAGATGAATTGGATGAGCAGCAAGTTCGATTGCTGGCAGAGATGTGCATCCTAATAGATGAAAATGACAACAGGATCGGTTCAGACACGAAGAAAAACTGCCACCTGAATGAAAACATTGACAAAGGTAAAATATGATTTAAAGTATATAATAGGCAAGGAGGACCTTGCTTAGTTCAACTGGGTAAAAGACTCGCTGTATATACAGAGCCACATTTCTTGCCTCCAGATATTTGACCTTTAGCTATAGAGCAAGATAAAGTCAGAAAATGAAAAATGCTGTTGATCAAGTATATTTGGATTAATACTGTTCTTCAGACATTACAAACATGTTGATATACAGAGAAGCTGAAAAGCTTCTCACAGATTACTCTTATCTCCGACATAGCCTGTCATTGCATTTAGATTTAGCATTAACATGTTTTATCAGCTGCATATGAATTCAGAAGTTCTTTCTAAGCATTAGTCTAATTCTAAGCATGAATTTGTTTGTCCTTTCTTGTCATTGCTTGCAGGCTCAAGTTAAAAGAGGGCACACGTTTTATTTTGCCTTGGCAAATGTGGGCTTGGCAAATTCATGGCCTCTAGTGGAAGAGAAATAATAAAGACTGTCTTAGTAGACGCTTTAGGAAAAATAAAAAAATGTAGAGTGACTTGCTATAAATGGACATAAGGAAGAGATTATTTAAATAAAAGGACAACCAGTAGGAATTGAAGTCACCCAAGCAATCATCTTTCTTTACAGCTGCATTGTTAGTGACCAAAATTCCAGATACGACAGTAAGTTGGGCAGTACCTAGAGCCAGGATGGCGAACCTGGCTCTGCACGCGCTGGCCAGCTGAGTTCATCCTTTTTTAAAGCCTGCCCAGGCTCCAGAGGTTTTATAGGAGCCTGGGGATGGCGAAAAGAGCCTCCTCCCCCCCCCCAGGCCCTCTGGAGTGGAAAAAAACAGCCCTATGGCCAAACCAGAAGTTCGGGAACGGTTTAAGCTCTCTGGGGGCTTCAGGGAAGCCTCCTGAAGATCCCTGAAGCCTTCAGAGGGCTTAAACGCCCTATGAGCAAACCGGGTTTGCTTGTAGGGCTGGTTTAAGCCCTCCGGAGGCTTCAGGGAAGCCTGAAGGTCCCTGAAGCTTCTGGGGGGTGGAGGAGGCTGTTTTCACCCTCCAAGGCTCCTATAAAGCCTCTGGAGCCTGGGGAGGCTTTTAAAAAGGCTGAACTCAGCTGGCCAGCACGTGTATGCGCGCGGGCCAGCTGATAGGGCAACGCCTTGCGTGCCCTGACAAGTGGCTCTGTGTGCCACCTGTGGGCAAAAAAAGGATGCAAAAAATGGGGGTAGCGCCTCTCATGCACGGATATGCACTGGGGGAGGTCACGCATTGCATTATGGGTGCGGCACACCTGCGCACGACCCTTCTGCGCTCCCCCCCCTTAGGGCAGGCAAGCCAAAAGGTTCGCCATTGCTGACTTAGAATCTTACAATTAGCGCAAATAGACATTAAATGGATTATCTTTGCAGTATAATTTGTACAGTCTTTGCCTGTCTTTCTCTACTAGGATTATTGCACCGTGCTTTCAGTGTCTTCTTGTTCAACACAGAGAATAAGCTATTGTTGCAACAGAGATCAGATGCAAAAATCACTTTTCCAGGTGTGTAATAATGAATCGTTGCAACAGTTTGGCAGAGATCCATCTGTAGTTTGAATACATTTTGAGCTCTATTGTCTATTAAATGTTAAAAAGATGAGATTTTCTGATAGAGCAAAGCCTTGAAAGGTTGTTTATAGTGTGATTATATTTGTCAACAAGCAAATAATTGGGGAAACAATGTGAGGGCTGAAGCTGACAAAAGAATTTGAGATTAGACAAAATACTGCAAGTGTCTTCAACATCTGAACCTAAAAAACAGGCAGCAAAAAGTTCCCAAACGGAAGCATACAGACAAATCTGAGCTTTCGGACTCATGCTGGAACCCTTCTTGAGGGAACATCTGTCTCATCAGACTCTGAGAGAGAATTCTGGTGAAAGAGAAGTTGCTTGAGAGAGGAGCTCCAACATTAATCCAAAAATTTGGCAGACTATACCTTTGTGGTTGTATCCTGCAGCAAAAAGTTCATTGTCACATTGGGCTTTAAAGGTATGAGAGAAAGAAGGGGGAGATCCTGGGCTTAAATCTGGAGATAAATGTGATAAATGTGAACCTGATTTTTAGGTTCTTCAGTAATTGATTTGTCATTGTCATTAAAAGCTCATTCAGTGAAGAGGGACAAAATATTCCATAGCAAACCGCTGTATTATCCGGAAACTTTAAACTACAGCATTTCAGATATTCTGCTATCCAAAATGCTGCAGCACATTATTAAAACTTTTCATTTCTTTTTGGAAGACTGTTTTACCAATACCTGTTGCAGTCATCCACTAAGCACCCCCCTTGAACTGGAAGAAAATAATGCCCTTGGCATTAGAAGAGCAGCGCAGAGAAGATTGAAAGCTGAGTTAGGAATTCCACTGGATCAGGTAAACACTATTCAGAGCGATGTCTTCCTTGGGGAAAAGTTGTTGCATAGCATTTAGTTATTTGGCAATCCCATTTGTCTAATTACAGATCAGACCTACAGTATTTATTTGAAAACTCATGACCTGCCATATTCCCAGAAGTCTAGAATAGGGAACAATTAATGCTCACATTTGTACTGTCTCCCTTTTTAAAATTAGAGTGCATAGTTAGCTCTGGTGTTTTATCTCAACGTTTGTGTTTTGGAATAGGACAGAGAGCAAACCTTCCAAGGTATACCAAAGTTCCAGTTTTCAAATTCATCCCAAACTACCTCATAGTCACAATATGCATGTTACCAGATGTAGAAAAAAAGAAAATTGAGTAAAATTGTCCATCAAGCTATAAACCCCATAAAGAGAATCTGCAGCTAAACAATTTTGGACCTAGGAATTTTTTTCATCAGTCATTTTTCCCAAAGCAAACTCTATCTTTATCTTCTATGGAAGGAAGCATTGCCAAAATGGCACAAGGATAGAATAGCTACTCAATTTTGTGTACTCTATTTTTATCCTGGAAATGTGCATAAAATATCTTTAATGCTTGGCCATGTACAAGGCCAGGCTGGGATCCCAGCAATCCTCATTTCCTTCTTACCAATAGATATTGGACAGGAAACTTTAGCTGTATCTCCATATCTAGAATGCTGAATAATTTTTAAAAAATTAAAATATTATTAATAGGATGCATATTCACTATTAAAACCATTTTCAGAACATAGCTTGAACCTACAATGTTTCAGGCATAATTGCTTCATCACTATATAATGTTCAGAAAAATACGACAATTCTCAGGCATCATTTAGAGAAGATAGGTAGGGAACTTAAAAAAAAATCATGTTGGTTCTTTCCAGGGCCCTGGTTACGTAAAGTATGCTATGAAATGCCTGAAACCAGGGAAACGCCACTGCTTTTCCTGCAGTAGAAACCATAACTTTTATATCTGTATTGAGATGTTCTGGGAATGGGAAAGAGGGTCTGTTAAAAAAAGTAGATATGGAATCTTTTGAAACATGTTTGCTTGTAGGTCACTCCAGAAGAAATCTTCTACCTAACCCGAATTCACTACAAAGCCCAATCCAATGGAACATGGGGAGAACACGAAATAGATTACATCCTTTTTGTGCAGAAGAATGTAACGTTGGATCCAGATCACAATGAAATTAAAAGCTACTGTTATGTGACGCAAGAAGAATTGAGAGAATTGCTGGAAAAGGCTTCCCGAAATGAAATTAAGATTACTCCGTGGTTCAGACTAATTGCAGAGACTTTTCTCTTTAAGTGGTGGGATAATTTGAATAATTTGAAGAGATATGTTGATCATGATAAGATACACAGAATGTAACAAATTAGGCTGTTCTAAAATACCATACCTTAAATTTTTCATACTGAAATTGTTTGTTGAAGCAGTGTATTTGTAGATTGATTGCAACCTAGGAAATTAGGAATAGGCCCCTTTAAGTGGAAGTTAGATATTTATCTCACATTGCATAGCTGGTTTTTTCCTGGAATGAAATTTCTTTTCCTTTCATTTCATGGTATTATTAAGTCATTAACAAGTTTGCACTCCATGAAAAACCACTGTTAAGTCTGAATAGTCACCAAGCCACAATGCCATGAGAGTAATTAGGGCTTGATTACAATCTCTCCCAAAATGATGTGTTTGTACAATATGGAATGAGTCAGCTAACCAGTCCAGTTGTGCAAGTAAAATGAAGAGGTGAACTTGAACTAGTCGACTCTAAAAGCTCTTCCGTATTTTTCTACCAGTCTTACTGAAGCATGCAGTGCAGTTTTTCTATACTGTCCCCCTTCAAGTTACCTGCTTATCTTTCAAGTAATTAGCACTTTCCTATTTATACTTTACACTGTTCAGTGTTTGACTTACTTTTGAAGAACCTATTCTCTTGTAAACTATTCTAAGCTCGTAAGATATTTTCCCCATTAGAAAAGATATCTGATATTTCAAACTAGAAATGTTAAAACTTCCATGCCTGTAGATTCTAAATATGTCTTTCCTATAAGAATTAAGCTATGATCTAAAAGAAAGGAAATCTTAAATGTAAATAACTTTTTCACAGAACCTTGAAAAATACCTGAGCTATTAATAGAACCAAGAAGGGGAAGATTTTAGGCATATCCTATTGTCTAAGGGGGGAAATGGTGTTGGTGTATTCTTCGTAAATGCAATTATGAACCATGAAAATTAAAGTTTAAAAATTGAATCTCTGATTGGTGTGTTGAAATTTCCTATTGATGAGTTCATGTAGTCAAAAATAAATGCTTTTGTGTTCTTTACAATGACTTGTTAAATGTAACTGGGCTGGAGGATTGGGTAATTTTACTATTTGTACAATATGGAGGACAAAACTGGCCCATAGTCCAAACATTTTAAATGCTCGAGTAGCACTTCCAGATCCTCCAAGGAAGAGAGGAACAACTACACATTGGACATATTTCAAATGGTTTGCCATGGCCTCAGTAATCTATTTTGGGGGCTCTGGTTGAACTGCTTTTAAGGTATCAGTTTTGTAATATAAAAAGGATTACCCAAATTTGACAATACATTTTTACTTTTTGAAATTTCTCATTGTATAGAATTGATTCTTACAGCAAGGGTAGCCTTTTCAATTACTTATTACTCGAAGGGATGTATGTAGTGAAAATGCTTTCCATCCTTTTCCCCCCCTCCCTTGATAATGTAATGGTTAAAATGAAGTCCTGATCTTCCAGCTGCTTCCATTCTCTTTCCCCCTTCCTCATCTGTTTGTTTCAGCTGTGTATCTTTGTTTCATTAGCCTCAGGAACAAACTCCCATCATGGCTATCCAACAGCCTATTCCTAACACCACAACCAGGCTTCACAGTGCCTTTTTGTCATGCTGCTGCTACAAATACACATACATCATGGTCAGTCCCCTTATTTGGGGTTAATACCCTTTCAAACCATTACTTTAGAACAGATGTATTTTATTTCACAGCCCAGGTTAAAAGTACCATTTCCTTCCATAGCAGACCAAAATTTCAATATAAATCTAACCCAAGCAGCTGTTCTGTGCATGAATCACTTTGCATACTCATAATTTAAGTTTGAATGTTTTTTTTATCCCAGGTAGCCCATAGCCCACTGAAGGTCTGACATGGTTTGATTAGGCTCTTTGCCAAAGTATACCTCTGAACCAGAATTGTTGCTCTATAATTGCAGTTTAAGGAAACCACTTTCCTCAATATCATGATTGAATAACCCAAGATAGCAGTTTTGAAAATTAGACCTGTAACAGTTAAAGAGAACTATTTTAAAGAAAAACAAGGAGGCAGATTTCAATGCTTGCAAGTTTTATTTGTGTCAACATAGACATCTTTTATTTTATTTTTTTCTTAACAGTTGTTTTATCTTCGGGTGGTTGGGCCGGCTTTTCTCTTCCCAGAAAAGAGGTGTTTGGGTTTAAGGTCAAAGACAGTTCTATCTGCCTCACCTTTCTTGCCCAATTGATTCATCACCTTCTGAGCATTCTTCATCATGGTTTTTGCTTTCTTTATCATCTATTAAAAAAAAACATTTGTAAGTAAAAAGGTGCACAATATGAATTTAAATATTATATGGCCACATATTGCTCCATATGTGTTGGAACTTCAGTTTCCATTGGAAAAAAAACCTATTCAAAGCTGAAAATTCACACTATAGATAACTTGGCTGATAGTGAATATATGCACTTACATATATCTGAATAAACTGATAATTTCATAAAACTGAGACATACCCTAGCATCACGAAGGCCAGACACATCACGAGGGGTAGTAGAGCGGCTACGGCTTACTGGCATAGATGCGGGTGGTTCAGAATCTTCTCGCTTGCGTTTACGGGTGATACTGCGGGACCTTCTTCCCCCGGCTAAATAATGCACCTGAATATTTGCAGATAAAAGAATCTAATCAGACACCTTAAAAAGTTAATCAGATGCCTTGCTGCATGCAACCTTGTGTCCTATTAACATAGATTCTAGTATCAAATGAGAACCTACAAAGAGTGTAACTATTTTTTTTAAAATTACACGTGCAGCAATGATACAGGAGGGGGGAATAATAAGCAAAAAAGAGCATATCTTACATCAGAATTTCCAGTTACACTAAGTCCCAGATTTGTCATCTCCTGCTCAAGGGTTTTCTGTTGAACCTAAAGGCAGAAGTAAAAAAAATTCAGAGGTTATTTTCTCCATATCCAAAAGCCAGTGCCACCTTCCAAATCCCAGAGAGCCAACACATAAGCAACCTTTCACACTCCCCCAAAATACCTTCAATCCAACACCGAAGTCACTTCACTCTTTCTCCACAATCAGCTCTACTACACCCAGCCTCTTTGCTGCTCTGCTTTTATAGCTGCTCTTATTGGGCAGGTGGGCTGGCTAAGGTGAGGTCTTAAAGGAGCAGGGCACCATACCCCTTTTGCTTGCTAATTTTCAGTCACTAAGGAACCTAGGGAACAGCCCTGAACTTCTCAAAAGCAAGGGAGAGCAGAGTGCAGAGCAGCACAGCTGTTTGAGATGAGAAATCAACAGCTCCAACGCTCTTTTGCTATTCCACATCTGGAAAAGACCGTTTCACTAACAACAGTTTTGAATTTTTACCAGTTAACAGTTTGGGTACACAGGCAGCAGGCAAAAGTGGCCAAATAGCATAATGCATCCCAATGCAATAAATCTTGCAAGTTGAGAGTACATTTGGTGTAGTGGCTAAGATCACCAGGCTAGAAAATAACAGACCATCATGACTGCAGATTCTCAATCATCCAAGTCATGGTTATTCCAAAGGTGCTTTTTCAAAAGGCACTGGACATTCTTCCTTGTTTTCCCCTTGAAAACATTTTGGACAACTTTTCATCTGAAATAGTATAGGGTTTCCTGCCTGGACAAGAGGTTTAACAGTTTAACAGAGGTGGAAGGGACCTTAAGAGTTCATCCAGTCCAACCCCCTATTCATGCAGGAAACTTGTACTAGGGATTCCAACTGCCGACCATTCTGATTGATGAGTTCAGTGTCTTAGCTACTAAGCCACCAAATCAGTGTTTGGACCAGAATATCTCCAAGACCCCTTCTGTTCTTCTATACTGAAAGTTCTTCAGTGCTTTTTGTGTACATTTCCAGGACAAAAACCAAGAAAGCCTAGTTTTTCCTCAAGGTTAAACTGATTAGAGATTTCAGATGGAAGTTTATAATAGGTACAAGCCTGCAAATTAGGGAAACAAATATAAACCACAATTCTTCTCTACTTCAAACATGGTTGCATAGCCTCTTTTTGAATTGTTAGCAAAATTAAGAATTCTGCTACTTAAAAAAGATAGCATATGTAGGAGGATGTTCTATTTATTCATTCACTTGTATCCCACCTTTATTATTTTTACAAACAGCTCAAGGCAGCAAACATTCAACACATTTTCCTCGCAACAACAATAGCCCCTTTGAGGTGAAGTGAGCTAACAGGGATTGATTGGCCCAAGATCACCCAGCTGCCTTTCCTAGTTAGTTAGGGCTTGAACTCATGGCCTCTTGTCACAAATATGCTTTTCCTTAAAAAAAAACCAAACCAAATGTTTTTCCCCTTAAAAATGTTTCACTTCTCATCTAAGAAGCTTCTTTAGTTCTTCTACAAGTTCAAGGCGTGACTTAGCCAGGAAAGCCAGCTAACTTTGGGCCAGTCATTCTCTCTTAGCCAACCTCATGGGTTATTGTGAGGAAAACAGGAGCAGTAAGGTAGGTTGGATTTCTTTGCTGTCTTGAGTTATTTGTAAAAATAATAAAGGTGAGATTAAAAAGAATGAATAAATAAACATAGTTTATGTTCTATTTTTGAATTATTTGCAAAATCGAGGCTTTTAATTAATAAAAAAACACAGCAAATGTAGGTTGTTCTACATTTGCTGTCTTTAATTAACAGTATTTTTAATTTTGCAAAGAATTCAAAAATAGGATGTAACCATCTTTGAAATGCAGAAGAATTTGGGTAACCATGTTTGAAGTGGGGAAGAATTGTGGTTTATGTTCAGCTTTCCGAATGTGTAGGCCTCCAGATAATGAAATCTTTAACCAGCTTTATCTTTAGGGAAAACTGGCTGAAGTAATCGTGTACTTAAACTGCTCCTATCTAATTATTTGGATGGCAGATAGTGGTCACTATAAATACTCTGGAGTTATATGGACTACAGGGAATCCTCAATTCACAACTACAATTGAGTAAAAACTTTCTGCTGCTAGGCAAGGCAGTTGTTAAGTGAACTTTATGTGACCTTACTCGTGACAGTAAAGTGAATCATTGCAATTGTTAAGTGAACTGGTCATTAAGTGAATCTGGCTTACCCCACTGACTTTGCTGGTTGGAAGCTGGCAGGGAAAAGTCATAAATGGTGATTATATGATCTCCAGGATGATGCAACTGTCATAAGTACAGGTGGTCCTTAACTTTCAATAGTTCATTGAGTGACCATTCGAAGCTACAACTGAAGTCACTGAAAAAAAGTGACTTATGATCTTTTTCCACATTTGCGACCGTTTGTAGGATCTCCATGGTCGTGTGATCAAAATTCAGGCACTTGGCAACTGGTTCATACTTATGACCGTTGCAGTGTCCTGGGGTCATGTGATCACCTTCTGCGACCGTCACACAAAGTCAATGGGGAAGCCAGATTCACTTAATAACTGCAGTGATTGGGCTTAACAACTGGGGAAAATAGGTCATAAAATGGGGCAAACCCACTTAGCTATTGCGTGTAAACAGAAATCTTGGGCTCAATTGTAGTCATAAGTTGAGTATATGCCAGTTGACTACAGGGAGGGTTAAGGTTATAATGGCTGCAAGTGCGAAAAGAGTGTCATAAGTCACTTTTTCACTGCTGTTGTAACTTTGGTGTGATTGCCCTCCAGGTCGAAGGCTCTCCAGAATCTGCTGGGGATTATTTGCCTTCCGGGGGTGTTTTCTTTCAGCTGATATGCTCCTGCAGAGTACTGAAGGCTGCTCTGCGTCACAAGAGACCACTATTCTTGAAGCGGCTTTGGAGAATGATTCTCTACACCCTCCAGGACCTCTGAAAACCGCGTGAAGGCAGACACTCCCATTCCAGCATGATTTTCAGAGCCTTCAGAGGCCGCGCAAGAGACCACACAAGAACACGTCCCAAGCTCACCTTCCCAGTGTCCCAAAATCATGAAAGAACGCTTTCAAAGCTCATGTTTCCAAGAACA